TCACAGTGCTAGTAGGCCTCCTGTATAACCATTGCTACTATCTAATTCCAGAACATTTCATCACTCCAAGACGACACTCCATGCCCATTAGTCACTTCCCACTCCTTCTAGTGAGCCCCTGGCAATAGCTATTTTACGTACTTTCTCTCTGGATTGGCCTAATATGGATATTTCGTAAAAACCATGCAACATGTGATCTTCCGTGTCTTGCTTTGCTTATTTTACTTAGTATAATGTTTTTGAGATTCATCTTTGTTGTAGCATGTATCACTACTTCATTCCTTTTTATTACCAGAAAAACATTCCAAAATATGGATATACCTCATTTTGTTTATCTTTTCTTCTGAAAATGGGCCTTTGAATGGGTTCCACTTTTAGGCTATTCTGAATAATGCTGATAGGATCATTTTGATACACGTTTTTGTGTAGATATGTGTTTTCATTTCTTGGGTAAATATCTGTAAGTGGAATCACAGGACTATATAGTGATGCTGTGTTTAAGCTTTGAAGAACTACCAGAGTGATATCCAAAGAGAATGTTTTATTTTATTTTTTCACCAGCAGCATACAAGATTTCAGTTTCTTTATATCTTCACCAGCACTATATTATAGCCATCCTAGCTTTGTTGTAACTCATGTTTTCGTTCTCTAGTTCCTTAATGACTACGATGTTGAACATTTTTTCTTGTGAGAATTTTATATTCAAATATCTTTCCTTTTTTTAAGTTGGAGTATCTCTTTTTCTTGAATTATAACAATTCTTTATGTGTCCTAGTCACCAGTCCCTTGTCATATGTGCTTTACAAAATTTTTCTCCTATTCTGTGGGTTGTTTTCACTTTTTTTTGCATCTTAACTTTCTTTTTTCCCTTCCTTCCTTTCTTTTTTTTTTTGTGTGTGTGTACCTTCAAATTGGATCTGACTGGTATGGGAGGAGTTTGTCCCTCCTTCTCCAGCAGAGCATCTGGTGGATTTGAACTGTGTGCCTCTGGGATTGCAGTGCAGCTGCTTGCCACTAGGCCCCCAGAGCTCCCTTAACTTTCTTAATAGTATTGATTACAGCACAGAAATCTTTAATTCTGATTTAGTTCAATCTGTCTATTTTTTATTTTGTGACTTGTGCTTCTGGTGTCATATTATTACTGTTTTTTTTTAATTTTTTATTACTGTTTTTTGAGGGCATATTAATTAGGACATGATCCTAAAATTTAGTAGTGAGCTAGTAATATTGTTGACAGTTACAGAAAGCAGAAGGTGATAAGGGTTTTTGAGGATAGGGAAATACTTGAACAACACAAGTTAGTGAATTCTCTATGGGATATGGAAATGAGGAGTAGAGAACAAGATGTCAAGACAACAGCTGAAATACAGACCTGGAGGAAAGGAAAGAAGTCTGGAGCTAAAGGAGGAGAACTGAACTGGGAATCCTTGTATTCTTGTAGAAGTAATCTTGTAGAAGCTACAAGTGAGACAGTTGGACTAAATAAGATCTACTGGACCAAAGATAGTACCCTGAAGATCAGCTGTATTCTTTTTGGGAGTGTGGAATGAGGGAATGTTTAGATTTCAAACATAATAACATTGAGCCAGGAACGTGTTTGAAGGCAAAGGGCATGACATGGGAGCATCACATGAGGTGTGGAGTAAAACAGGGAGGAGGAGGAGGAGGAGCAGAGAACAGAGAGATACAGTCTTCTTCAGGGCAGGGGATAGCAAATCTCAACTGAGTTGGTCAGTGAGTGGGAAGGAAGCATCAAGAAATGTTTAGTGGTTTTTTAAAACCAGAGAAAGTGGTTAGTTTGGCAAATGCAGAGTTGTTGTTGTTGTTATGGGCCGT